ATCAGCAATTTTTGTTATTCAAAAAGAAAATGATTGTGAAATTACTCTTATAATAAAATTATTATTCATTCTTCATGAGTGTCTCATACATTTTCAATGACCACTGACATAATTACAAATCATGTGAAATTTCTGATAATATAGTAGTTGTAAAGATATTATTGTGTGACAAATCAGTGAGTCTGTTACTAATTCCTTCCAATTCTCATATAGCCTACAGCAGCTTAGTTGAAATAGGCATGTTAGATTTGGCTGAAAGGTTTATCTGTAAGTAAATACTATTCTTCTCTTCAAAGTCTTTCCTTCAACCTATTCTTCTATTAACTCTTACTTGCTCTTATCTTCCTTCTACTTTCTTAACCTGAGATTATGAAATGTTAAATCAAGATTGAAGTTCTCTTGCATTGATGGATTGATCACATGACTTATAGTGAATGATTAAAATGCAGTTTAGTAAGTTACAAATGGGCAAATAATATGGGTAACAAGAGTTTTAACAATAGTTTTTAGTTTGGGTTGAGTTATAATTCACTTTATTTATAGGTCAGGAACATATTTTTATGTATTGCAAAAATGTATTTATTTGGAGATATCTTTTGTTACTTTCCCCCTGGGCAGAAAGCCCTTTATTTATAATAAAACTTTTATTTACATTTGAGGTTAATTTCCTCTACATTATCTATTTACACTATATCATCCTTAAAACCCTTTTCCACATTATAATAACGAAAAACCGAATGCCCTATATACCGTCGATCTACCCGAAGTAATAAATGTAATAAATGTAACAAAAGTAATAAAAGTAAGAAAAGTAAGATAAATCTTACTTTTCATGTGACTAATTACTCGGGACCTAAATTCGACGATCGATCACGGTCACGTGTAACCGTGATAACGGTGGTACCGATTTCGGGGCTCACAATATTTTTCATAAATTCCAAGGCATATAAACATTTTTTTGTTTTCTGAATCATCTAACTTTTTAGAAACCATTTTGCTGTTATTGGAACTTCAGTACAAGATAATGAAGTAATTTCTAAAAGTTTGGCAGTTCTTAGAACGAGGTCAAAGAAATTTCAGAAAAATTAACATGGCAAGTTGAATTGAAAATTTTAAATTTTATAAGCTTATTATTAGATATGTATAATATAAGTCTCATATTGTATTTATGAGCGCCAGCGGCCCACACTAATACTTGTAATTTATATAAATATAACAACTAGGCGCTTAAGATACTTAAAAGGAGTTGGAGATGAGTATAGTGTAAAACCTCCATAATTGCGACTAAACTTTGATTATGTATTTTTTAATGGGGATAAAGAATCCTGTCTAGGGACTTATTAAACACCCGGTAAAAGATTTTTCAAATTCTAGGGTCTGACTTAATGGATTACAAATCAATTCAGACCGCATGTTTACAAGTACTCTGATAAAAAACCAAGTCAAGTGATTAAACATATTGAGTTTTAAGACAATATTTAATATAAAATTTATTTTTTATGATAAAGTTGTTTTATATTTTATATGGGCATTTATTTTTGGCGCACCCCTTCGATAAAATGTTCCTTGCACAATTTGATACTAGCCCAACCCTAACCCTAACCTTAATCTAACTTTAATTAAATTTTGAGTTTATTTTGCTATAGGGTGCACCAAATATAATTTTCCTTTTTATATTATTAATATTTTTTAAACCGAGTTTTTATTTATGAATTATTTTATTATTGAATTACAAATTTAGATGCCAATCTTTACCCGCTTAACGCTAAATTATTTTGTTCATGAAATTTTAAATTAAAAAAAAAACAGAGTATACGCTATCTTTTCTGGTACTTGTAATTTTATTCATTTTTTTATCTAACCTAAATTAAATACGTATTTCAACAAGCATGTTAAGCGAGACCAATTTGATTCTGTGTTTTATATTACCCTCCTGAGAGAGAGGGGCATGTAAAATACAGAATCAAGTTGGTCTCGCCTTAATTCAGCATTTGTAATAAATCTAGTACATAGTGTTTGTAAGATTTTCTTTTTTCAGTATGTAATGTTTGTAAGAAGAAGTTTTTTAGTACGCTTATACTTTTTGTATTTTTGCAATTTTTGAAATCAATTTGATTGCCATCAAGGTTTAAATATGTAAATGATATATTTTTATAGAGTGCTTCTACTAGGGCTTTTCCAGCTTCAAAATTAAGCTTATTATTTGAAAGGTCTAAGGAAGTTATAGTAGTGTTTATGCAAAATGCCTTTACTAATGTCATCGCACCTTCAAATTCAATCTCATTATAGCCAATATCTAAATAAGTTAAAGTGACATTTTTACAAAGAGCTTTTGCTAATACTTTTGCTCCTTTAGAACCAAGTTGATTTCCATAAATACTTAAGGATCTCAGAGTAGTATTTGTGCAAAGAGCCTTTGCAAATGCTGCTCCTTCTTTAAAACCAATATTATTATAGCTAATATCTAAAGAAATAAGTGTTTTATTTGAACAAAGAGCCTTTGCAAATGCTTCTCCCCCTTCAAAACCAATCTTATTATAACCAATATCCAATGAAGTCAGTGTAGTGTTTATGCAAAGCGCCTCTGCCAGTGCTTCTCCACCATTAGAATCAATATTATTATGGCTAATGCTTAAACAAGTCAAAGTAGTGTTTAGGCAAAGAGCCTCTGCTAATGCTTTTCCTCCTTCAAAATCGACATTATTAAAATTAATAGTTAAAGTTTTTAAAGTGGCGTTTTTACAAAGAGCATTCGCCAATTCTTTCACACCATCTGAACCAAGTTTGTTTCGGTCAATATGTAGTGAAACTAAAGTAGTATTTATGCAAAGGATTTCTGCTAATATTTTTATTTCTTCAAATTTAATCTTATTTCTTCCAATATCTAAAGAAGTTAAAGAGTTATTTTTTAAAAGAGCTTTTGCTATACCATTAAAACAAAAACGATTCTCACAAATATTTAAAGAAGTTAAAGTGATGCTTTTACAAAGTGTTTCTGCAAGTGCTTTTCCTCCTTGAAAACCAATATCATTATTACTAATATCTAAATAAATGACAGTATTGTTCTTACAAAGAGCTTTTGCTAATGCTTTTGCATCTTCAAATCCAATTTTATTACCACTAATATTTAAAGAAGTTAGAGTAACATTGTTGTTATACAGAACTTCTGCTAGTACTTTCACCCATTTAGAAAAAAGTTTATTATACGAAAGGTCTAAGAAAGTTAAAGAACCAGTTTTGCTAATATTCTTCATTAATGTTTTTATTCCTTCGGAATCATAATGATCTAAACGATGTTTTATACATTTAAGCTTTTTACTTGTTCGTAGAAACATTGCAACCAAAGAACATTTAACAGCATATACAACGGGAATTGATTCAGATCTATACATATCCACTATATCCATATTATATTCTTTAGCGAACCAATAGTTAACTCCACTAGTTAAATAAAGCCCAACTGATATAGTATAGCTTGTGTACTTAAATAATAGGTTTGGATAACTTGGAATAATAATATCTAAAGAGATCAGTGAAGCTTTTTCTTCATCGTTTAACATTAAAAGATACATCTTTATGAGTTTAATGTCACTGAAATTTTCTGTTGGTCTGCTCCATAATATTGGTACAATCATTCTACACCATTGACGATTTACCAGTAGGCATGAGAATAGACTTGAATAATCATTTTGTAAGTTATTAAATACTTCTATAAGGCATTCGTATGGTAACATTACCATTTTAAAAAAAGATTTAAATGATTATGAATTTATTGTGCAAGTACGAATCTTTTTGCCTCCAATATACACATAATCTGTGAAATGTTGTGAAACCTCCCTAATCATCTCATATGGAGGTATTGTCATTTTGACAACTCCGACTCGTTCAAGGTGAATTTGTTAATTTCTATTTGTGCCAGTGATACATTCCCAAAATGGAAATTTAATGCGTCTGAATTTTTATTCGATATAAATTATAAAAATGGTTTATTTGTTTGTTCGTCATATCACATGATAATTAACCAATCAAATAATACTGATCAACAAACTGTTACGTATATGTTGCGTATATGTTACGTATCTGTTACGTATATGTTACGTATCTGTTACGTATGATATGAGTAATATATTATTTATTATTTTTATAAATTAATAAATATTTTGCTCCGGGCATCTAATACTTAGTCTATATAGTCTATATGTATTACTAGTGTAATAGGTGTCATTGTCTAAAATTCGAATGTGCGGATCTAATCAAATTGCGTGATTTCCAGAAATCAAACAATTTGATTGGATCCGCACATTGAATTTTAGACACTGCTGGAAGTACTCATTCTTCGGAGTCATCTTTAATAAAGCCACGTTAAAATTATGATTTTTTTTAAAAAAATCATATTTCCTCGATGAATAAATTCAAATTTACAAAAAAAAATTATAACTTTGTAAAACGTATCTAAGATTATAATATTATGATTTTTTTTTTCAATGTTTAGATATTCATTGATAAGTTACGATTTTGGATGACTTTAAATGATTTGCACCGTTTGATAGTACTTGCATACATTAGAAAACTTAGTAAATGCGCATCACTTGTAAAATACTGAAGATAGTATCTAAAAATAGCATAAAAGTGAGGACAATCAGGAATAATTACATAAAAGAATTGGTTCCATTTTCTTTAAATGTTGAATATTTTTATAACGCTTATTTTTATATTAGCATATTTGAAATTTCAATTAAAAAGATTTACAAGTTAGAAATTGCATTTAAAACCTACATCATTTTTCTTTAAAAAAAAAATTCATATAAAAAATATTATATAGCATAGAATTAATAACAAAAATAAAAAAATTTTGACTACTGATTTATTAAGATTATCTCTATAAATGAATAATTTAAAGGCATAAAGAAAAGCATACATAAAAAAAAAAACATATCATAGATACAAATCAATTTAATCATAACAAATAAAACATAACATACAACCATTACAATTATGTGTTAATCTTCAGTGGCCCATTTTGTTAAAATTTTTTCAAGTTGTTCAATTTTTAAAGGTTTTATGAGACAATCATTTAATCCAGAGTCAACGCATTTATTTCGTATTTCTTCTGTAAATAAATCTGTTACAGCAACGATTGGAATTTTTGAAATACGTGGACACGTTGATCTAATTGTTAATGATGCATCAAAGCCTAGCGTTGTGAACTGATTAAGTGTAAAATATCAATAATGATGAATAAAAAACATAATAAAGTGTTATTATTACATTATAATGAATTTAATAAATAAAACTTACTAAATTATAGTCTATTAAAATCATTAAAATTTTACGAGATTTTGAATAAATGTCATTTAGCGATCCATATTCTGTTTTAATGATATTAAAAGCTTCTTGAAAACTTCTTGCAGGGATTGTTGAATAGCCAAGTTCAGAAAGTTGTTGCATTATGGCCTAATGACAAAAATGAATTAGAAATTATAAAAATGAATTAGAAATTAGCAAAGCTCAAACGAAATAAATGGAATTACCATTAGATTGTTAGAATTATTATCCTACAAATAAATATTAGTTAAATGTTTAAATGAGTATTGTGTTATAAAAAATATTATTATAATATAACAAGTTCAATAAATAAAGCCGATAAATAGAAACATACCACATATAAAATACATTTTTTTCTTGATATTGGTATATTATTAAAATCATAAATATTTGTATCTGTATATAGCATTTGATTCGCATCAACTTTATAACCGTTAAAATTTGATATTCTCTTTAAAAGATTTGCACCGCTATCTTTACTAATAGAAAGATCTTCTAAACTGTAATGTTTGTAGTTAACATCATCATCATCAATATGTGAGAATTGTGCAATTATCTTTTTCCACGTAACTGGCGTATATATAATATCATATCGTCCTTCAATGCTTTTAATTAATTTTTCTATCAACATTCTACTTCTATCACCAGGAAATACAATAAATACTATTAATGAAGTTAATGAATTATTGAAATTTATTTCGATCTTTCTTAACTCTGATACGGCTTTAATGACTTCCTCTTCATTTTTTTCATAAAGACCGATAAATATTAAATCATAAGCAAATTTTTTATGTAACTTTGCATAATCATTTGCTTTTTGAATACTTTTATCAAAAGTATCAAATACATCAACTTTTTCAATACTTTTAAGATGATTAATCATTGCATTTCTTGCACTTTCAACAGGATGAATTACTAATAACCGTTTTAATCTAATCGAAGATGGTAATAAAGATTTTTCAGGATATTTTGATAAACTTTGTAATAATTCGATATTCCATGTAAGCCAAAATTTACTTCCTTGTCCTAATTTACTTTCTACTTTAATTTCTCCCCCATTAATTGCTACTAAATTTTTACAAATTGAAAGTCCAAGTCCTGTACCATCTTGTTTCCTGGTTAATGATGTATCACCTTTTGAAAAACTTTCCCAAATATGTTCAATAAATTCAGGATCAATGCTATCATTATTAAATTATTAAATATGAAATTATGATTATTTACGAAATAAAAATTATATATATAAATTAATTATTTATATGAATTAATTCTTACCCGATTCCAGTATCACATAATTCTATTAATAAAAAATCTTTTTTAACAGTTTGACCATACGTTGGGTTCTCTTTATTTTCATCAATAACTTCATGTGATTGCGTTGAAACGTTCATTACTATTTCACCTTTCTCGGTAAATTTAATGCTAAAAAAAAAAAATGAGAATAAAATTATTAAATGCAATAAATATGAATGATAAGAAACAATATATTGAATTATATTTACGAATTTGACAATAAATGAATCAAAACTTGTTTCAATCTATATAAATAAAATAAAATAATTAATGAATATTTAGTTTTTATAAATATAATATTTAATGGAGCAAAAACGAAATTAATCAAGTCACCTATCAGGATCACTTTTAACATATTTCGGTAATGTATCTACATCGCAATTTAAAATCAACTCAATTTGTTTATCTCCAGCTCCTTCTCCAAACAATTCAATTGTATCTGCTAATAAACATAATAAACTAAATGTTCGGTTTATTAATGTTATTTTTTGAGCTTCTAATCTTGCTGCATCCAAAATATCGTTGACTATAGATAATACTATATCAGAAGCACGTGCCATGATGTTTATCATGTCCCTTTGATCACCATCGTCCAAACCTGTACTCTCTAAAGAAGAAAGTATGCCCACTATTGCACCTAGTGGATTTCGTAACTCTAAAAAAAAAAAAAAAAGATTAAACCTAATTATGACTGGCTAAAATAAATTGAAGTTTATTAAAAAAAATAACGAAAATAATATACCATGAGAAGTATTTGCTAATATTTGAATTTTCTCGTTATTTTCTCTTTCAGCAGTTTGTATCTGCATTTCTTGTATTAAACTTTCTTCAAATAATTTAGCATAAATAATAGCTATATTTATTTGATCTGAAATTTGTAATAATAATTCTATTTCCGAATCGAGCCAAATAGAATTTGGTGATCTATATGTTTTTATCCATCCCCAATGATCTCTTATTTCTACAGATAATATGGACACATTTTTGAAAATATCTTTACAATATACATCATTCGAAATCTCTACTTTAAGATAGTTATTTAAAAATTCCTGTGAATTAATAGTTGTTGATGATTTATTATTATTATTATCGACCTTCATTAACGGTATTGATTCGGTTATAGGTGTAGTACATGATGAATCTTCGTATATAAGATGAGATGTATACTCTGATTGTTCACATGAAATAATTGATATTCCTTTACATGGTAATATACGATGAATTTCTTTGATGGTATATGAAAGAATTTCTTTTAAATTAAATCTTGATAGAATCTTAGTCGAAATTGAATGTAATAATTTATTTGTTTTTTCATTATTACATCGTTGAAATAATAGTTTATGACGAAGTTGAGAAATTTCGATATTGGAACGAATACGTGAAATTAGTTCTCGTATAGAAAATGGTTTAATTAAATAATCATCTCCTTTATTCAATTCTAAAAAAATTAAAATTAAAACAATTTAAATATACAGTAAATATCAATAAAGTTATTTAATTGTAAACTAAAATTCTGTTATATTTAATTACCTTCAATATTAGACATTTCTGCATCTTTCGTGGATAATAAGATTACGGGAATTAATTGAGTTGTTATATCAGATTTTAGTATCTCTAATAATCCGTATTCATTTACATTTAAAATCATAACATCTACAACGATAAAAATTGATAACATGTGACGTTAATAATGTACTAGAAGGTAGGTAAGTGGTGGTGCGGTTCACTCATTCGTAGACGTAACATTTAACCTAACTCAGCTCACCGACATTTCTATTAGCTGACAAGTTCATTTCGCTGACAATTTATTTCATCAAAGCTAAATAAGTCTGGTTATTGTCGGTAGAATTAGAGTTAAGGTTAGCAGAATTTACGAAAAAAAACTTGATGAAATAAACTGTCGGTGAAATGAACTTGTTGGCGAAATAGAAATATCAGTGAATTGAGTTCAGTGAAATGTTACGTCTACGCAATGAGTGTCTGTGAAGTGAGGCGTAATTGGGTTAGTGGTGCCAAAAAAATGTCAAGTAGCTGAAAGCGAAGTGTCGGGTCATGTGATTTCCAGAGTTCCGGCCCAATTTCCATCAATAAAAATCCAGAATCTTCTGTAATATGAAAGTTACGAAAATAACCCTTTGCTTTCTATTTTTATATTCTATATTCAATTGTTTTGATTTTGAGCTCGGACCGGAAGCTTCGGAAATCACATGACACGACACTTCGTCTTCGGCACGACCAGGTTCAATGTGTGCCAAGTTTGTGGCGCAGATTTCCTGAACTACGAATCAGATTTCAGGATCAAGAGTAACGTAACACAAATGTCCGTTTTGTCAAAAATCGCTTATTTCCCTTAACACAACTGTCCCAGCGTTACCAAAAGATCAGGTGCTACGCAAAAAATCAAAGCAAACCAAAAAAATCGTCCATAACTCAATAGTTTACCTAATAAGCCAACTTCAGCATATTAACAAAAAGTTTTCCTTGAAAATATTGGTATTAGAAAAAAAAAACTCTTCTTAACCCAAATTAATAACTAAACCTAACCCTAATCTAGCAACGAAATGTTTTTAGTGAAATTTTCTAAGTTGGTAACACTAGGACAATTCCCTAACCCAACCATAAACAAACTGTAAAGAATTTTTAGTTGCGGCATAAATCTGGCACACATTGAAGAATTGCTGAAAAATGTCGCAGTGACGTGATCGACGACCACTTCCGACCTGATAATACAAATTACGTGTTGCATTAAAATTGATTAGTAATTTTCACCCTAATTGATATCACCCAATTGTAGGATCTTGTGTAACCAAAACAATCCTATTATGAAAACTAAAGTTTTCAGCGCAAAATTTTACAGATATCTAAACCCTCTAACCTTAATCGATAATCTTTTTATCATATGTAATTTGTATTATCAGGGTGGTAACATTTTTCTGCACCATTAACCTACCTTATACTATTTGTAATAGGAGGAAATTGTATAATTACCACTAAGAATTAAATCAGGTGGTTTATCAAAAGTTTTTAAAGTTTCTATAACTTCTTGAGCATTGCAAGCATGATGAACGTCAAATTCATTCGATAAGTCCACAAGATAATCCCTATAATAGTAATAATAAAATGGTTAATAAAGTACCTTTAAAAGCCTTTAAAAGTCCAAATCAATCAAAAATGAAAATAAAGATAAAAAATAAATAAAAATAAAAATAAAAATTGTTTAATACCGTATATCAGAATTATCAGTAACAAGTAATATTTGATATTTCTTAGTAATAGTTATGGAAGAGACAATATCTACTGAATTTTTATCAGTATTATCAGTGTCCATACTGTAATCACCTATTAATTCCTGAACCATCATATCATTATTTTCCGAATAAAATTGTCGCTTTGAAGATAATCTCCATTCTTGATTTGTATCTATATTATCATATATTTGATTTTTTGATATATGATGACATCCTATTGGAAACCAACATTTAAACGTTGTTCCTTGATTCGCCACAGAAGTTAAAGTGATATATCCACCATGACGAGCGACAAGTTTTTTAACAAGAAAAAGTCCTGTATAAATACTTGAATATTGTGATTCTGCATAAGAAAAACACTGTAATATATCGGAAAGGATGGGTTCTGGAATATCAATACCTAAATTAAAAGAAAAAAATTAGATTAGACTAAATAAATATAACTGATAATGAATAATACAGTTATAATTAATTAATTAGAAAATTATTAACCAGAATCTGCCACTTCAAGGACTATCATCTTTTTTTCATTTTTGAAATCAGAATATAGGCGGATACTGATAGATCCATTCCATGTACGTT